TGGAAGACCATAAAAGAGCTAAGAAGTGCAGCTTCCTGGGAATCTCAGGGCTAATGCAACCCCGGCAGTTGGCTGTTCCCAGGCTGCAAGTCCAGGTGTGAGTGTTTCCAGTCTTTGGCTCCCTCATATCTGCATTTCATGTGTGTCCACCCATATAAACAGTCTTTTTATTTTTTACACAGGAGAGGCAAAGACACTGGGTCCTGGGTGCCATGCCTCATCAGCCTGGCTATCCATTCACCATTCAATTCTTATGGCCACCAGCGCATGGCTTCCAGCTACAGAAATGCTGAAGTGGGTTTGTGGGGAGGTAGGGGCAGGGGGCCTGATCTACCATACAGTCTCCCCAAAGGAACTGTAAGAAGTGAAATGGCAGGCATAAGATCTGGAATTAGAAAGAAATCCACTGTGCACCTTCCGGGTGTGGGCCTTTATTTCTTTGAGGTCTCTCCCTTCTCTCCCCCCCAACTGTTTACGAACGATAATACAGAAGCTAACTGTTAGTTGCAGCTTGTTACTACTGATACAACTATTAACTCACAGCAGCAATGAATGTGGCTATCTTGGTGATTAAACAACTACAGAGCCTGATACATGTTGGGAACTTGCCACACGCTCCCTGTCAAAATGACAAACCTTCCCTCCACACGAAGGCAGATACATTGCCAACCTTTCTCTAATGCCAGTGAGGATAAAAGGCCAATGGCTAAAAGGTCGCAGTGTCTAACAGGCCAAATTCCAGTTCATTCTTCAGCTTATGACTTAGTTATTTTTGTTTTGAGCCATAGTTTACAAGAAAATTTTTTAATGGACCTTTTCTTTCTCAAAGGCTACCAATGGGCCTCCTTGGCCATCTCAGCCATGGCATGAATGAGTTTGAGGGGACTCTGACAGAAGCAGATTTTAAGATGATGTCAGACTCCTGGGATCTAAGGAGCCAGGAGTGGTCCTCACCAGCCTCCGCCGTCTTTCCAATGTGCTCCTCTCAGGCCTTGTCAAGAGGGAAATCTTTACTAGAAAAAGCCAGGCAAGATTTGCATTCACCAGTAGACCAGGATTAATGTAGTGGGATGAACTTGTGCAGAAGTGTGTGTTTCAAATAACAAGGACCCCGTCCAGGTTTGATAGAGAAATGAGCAGAGATGAATTTCAGTGAAATGTCTCCTGACAATGCCAGCCACTACGGACGGACGGAAGCCACTATGGACAGAAGCCACTACGGACAGAAGCTGAGAAAGCAGCAGCAACCCACAGATCTGCCTTCCATGCATAACAGAGTGGAGGGCTCTCTGAACTTGGAGGGAAGGGTGGCTGAGCTTGGAGCGAGGGGTGCCTGACTTTAGCAGACCAGTGAAGGTAGTAGCATGTGAGCCTGTAATTCTGGAAGCTGATCCACTGCATGACCCTACCTTGGTGCTGCTATGTGCTGGGAGTTTAGTAACTTGAGAGGAGTATTAGATCCAATGTGGATGAGGCTGATCCCCACTCCAGGGGCGGCGTCTGTCCTCCAGCTGTATGAGGATTTGTTGTTTAAAAAAACACACTTCTGCTGGGCGGTGGTGGTGCACGCCTTTAATCCCAGCACTTGGGAGGCAGAGGCAGGCGGATCTCTGTGAGTTCAAGGCCAGCCTGGGCTACCAAGTGAGTCCCAGGAAAGGCACAAAGCTACACAGAGAAACCCTGTCTCGAAAAACAAAACAAAACAAAATAAAAAAATCACACTTCTTATTTGCACCTCTCCTTCAGGCTTTAGCAAAACAGAACATGACAATCAAAGTTTTAGATTATGCCAAGCTCTCCTTTAGTAAATAACTATATGGCGTAAATAGGAATTAGTCATTCATGACAGAATTACCTTTAGTCAGAAGACATAAAGTTCGGTTTTCTCCCATGCAACATTCATATAGTCTATGTCTAGCTTCTGCCTGGAATAATTGGTCTGTGCGGGTGAAACTGCTCTCACACCATAGAAGTCAACACAGAAGAACACGGTGACCACCAAAGGCGTGGGATTACTCCCCATCAGCCACCAAGTGGTCCAGTCTGCAGGAGACATCAAGGAGATGCCCTCCAACTTATACTGATACCGTCCACCTGGAGACCGCATGAGATCCTACAGGGTGAGGCCTTGGGCCTCAAGAGTGACCTGCCCCACTTCACATACCACTGGTAAACTTCAGTGTGCTTGAACTATGTTTCTGATTGATCGATTCTAATTTGAGGTTCCCACAAGCCCTTCCTTGGGGTACCACTGGTTGGCTTGTGCATCTCCCAGAACTCAGAGAAACCCTGAATTTACAGATTATAAAGGATTCTGTGAGGGGTGCCGAGGAAGAGAAGAATGAAGGGTAAGAGGAGGGGTGTATATTCCACACCTACCCTCTAGGAACCTCCTTCAGTTATTGTCTGGATTGCTCAGTTCAATGACCTCTTCGGCGTTTTTGGAGACTTCACAACATAGACCAGACTAAAGCTTGAAGGGGCCCAGTGAGGAAGAGGTGAAAGCGTTGTCTAAGGCTACACAACCAGGTTGTGGCTGGGAGGCTTTGCTCAGAGGGAGAGTGGATGCCTATCATGTACAAGACTTCCGGGTTCATTCCAGGCACCTAAAAACCAAGCTAATAGAAGTCACTGCATGTAGAGCCAGCCAGGATCGTCTGTCCAGATTCTTCTCTTCCCATCTCTGTAATGACATTCCTTCCTCCAGGGGATGATGCTGACTCCTTCTGAAATGGGAGTCTTATAGCCTATAATCACTGGGGTAGTTCCAGGGAATTATTTTATGGCCAGCTTGGAGAGCGCAGGGGTGGAGGTTGAGAATTTCTGGCCTTGGGGACAGCAAGCCCTACTAATTCAAGGCTGGCGTCGGGGATGAAAGCAGGAGGATATCGGGATAGGAGAGGATGGTACATGGCTGCATGATCTCAATGGTGAGTGGCTGGATGCAACTTCATCTCCTCGATGTGTAATGGAATTATGAAACCAAATCTTAAGAAACAAGGAAGGGCTTTAAACTTCTTCAGTTGCAAAAAGGAAGTTGAGCTCACTTCTTCTTTGTTTTCTACCTTAAGACTTGATATAGGCCTTGCTTCATTTTTCTGCATAAGTCACCGGAGGCTGAAGTCAGCCTGTGGTGACAATGGTTTTTTAGAGTCAGACTGTCAGATATCATGACCCAAGATGGACATGGGGGCTTACACCTTTAACCCCAGCACTCTGGAAGCAGAGGTAGGCAGATTTTTATGAGTTTGAAGCCAGCTTGGTCTATATAGTGAGTTTTAGGCCAGCTAGAGCTACATAACGAGACCTTTTCTAAAAAAACAAAAAAAAACAAACAAAAAAAAAAATCTAAGCATCTCTATATCTGGTGGAGGGCAATTTTCCACGAAGCTCTGGCTGGAATGAGAAGACTCAGGGCCTTTTTTCTTTTCTCTTTTTTCCTCTAACTGCCCTGACCTAAGTTCTGAGCTTGGCTTTGGTGAGAATAAGTAGGAGCTTCCCTCCAGGGAAAGGTAAGAAGTCAAAACCGGTCTTTTTACCTCTCCCTGTCTTGACATTCTATCCCTATCCTTAACAATCCAAAGCCAAGAACTTTCTTTTTTTTTTTTTTTTTTTTTTTTTTTTTGGTTTTTCGAGACAGGGTTTCTCTGTGTAGCTTTGCGCCTTTCCTGGAACTCACTTGGTAGCCCAGGCTGGCCTCGAACTCACAGAGATCCGCCTGGCTCTGCCTCCCGAGTGCTGGGATTAAAGGCGTGCGCCACCACCGCCCGGCAAGAACTTTCTAATGTGTAAAACTTGCTGGCAATTTTCTAGAATCTTGAAAAAATGAAATTGTGCCTGAATTAGGGTTTTTGTGCTTAAAGAAAAATTAAAACAAAATAAATAGTTGTCCCATGACAATAATTTTCTCTTTACAAAGGGTGGGAGTCCAGCTAGCAATTTAGTGTCTGATGACTTCTGTGATGCAGTAAGAGCCTGGGGCCAGGGCTCACACCACATTAGCAACTACACAACCCTCTCTCTCTCATAGCTGAACAAATCTTTGCAGATATTCTTAGACCCAGTCCTTGTTTATATCTACAAAGTTCTTGTAACTGTCTACTTAAAGATCTTCAGAGATTTGCTGAGGCCAAGTTAGATCAAAGGGGGAAAATGATACGAAACCCACACAGGACGACATATACACCACCCCACCCCACATGGTAAGATGGGTCAGTGGATGAAAGCACCAAGTCTGATGACCTGACTGCCATCCCTTGAGCCCACATGGTGGAAGGAGCGCCAACCCCAGCAGGTTGTTTACACACACACACACACACACACACACGCACGCACGCACGCACGCACACACACACACACACACACACACACACACACACACACACGCACACACAGTGAGAAAGAGAGAGAGAGTCTAAATAAATAAATAGATGTGTAGTGTTTTGTTTTTGTTTTTTTTTTTCCAGAGCCGAGGATCAAACCCAGGGCCTTGCCCTTACGTTCCACCACTAAGCTAAATCCCCAACCTTGTTTTTAAAGTTAAATGATCTGACAACACTGCCCTTGCCAGGCACCTTTCTTGGTAACCAATAAATATGCTGTTCATATTTATTGACCATTAATGCTTATTCCAGGTGACTCTGTCACCTGATGGGGAGCAAGCAGAGCACACAGATCAGTTCCTCCTCTAGAAGAAATTTCTAGCAACTCACTCTTTCATCACACAGCCGTTTCAGACACTGAAACGAAGAGAGTACTCCGCTCTCCCCACCCCCACTCCCATCCACCGCCTGGGGGAAGCGTTAAGAGCAAGCAAAATTCTCATGGTATGGTCACCAAACAGCCAAACCACCAAGACAGTCACTTGCAGCTTCCTGGAAGTGGCTGGATCTGATAATCAAAGAAGACAAAAGAAAAACAAATGCCTGTTCCAGCGGCTTGGCAGCCAGGCAGGTGGCGGCGGCGTTGGATCAGAACTGGGGAAATCGGGAAATACTCACAATCATTATAAAGGTGCCCAGGAACTCAGAGATTGTCTCCTTAGCTAGCCGGCTTTTCAGGGCCAGCCTCTGTGTGAGGCTCCTCTTGGTGCGTTCCTTCTCAGAAGGCATCTCGGGGTTTCTGCCAGAGGTGCGCCTTCCACCAAGGCCTGCTTGCTCTGGTCCTTGTCCTCACTACCACATAAAGAGAGGAACACTTAGCTCCTGGTGGATTCCTGGAGATGGCTGGGGAGATACTGACTATGCAAAGGCCGGCCCAATTGGAGGCTGTGACTTAATCCTTGTCTGCTTCGGGCCGGCAGTCCGTCCCTGCCCGCTGCTATTTGCTTGAATTAGTGAGTTATAACCCCAAATCCTCAAAATGATCCTGGCAGATTAATCATTACCTTTATTCACTGGCTTCCTTTTATTTGTTGGCTTTTTAATTTTTTTTTTTTCCAGGAGATGAGAAAAGAGATGCTTGTGTGGGTTGTGTTGCCAAACCACAGAGATGGGCCTTAGTCCAGAAGAGATTTATGTTACACAATTTCTGCCTTCTGATGATTTGTTTTCTCCTATTCGGAAGTGGGCGGGCAGTTGGGGTGTAATTTAGAATTGTCAAGTCAGGTATGGATCTCGTCACTGGGAACACTCTCTACAGAAGGTTTGCATTTAAACTGGAGGGTGTAAGGGAAAGGAGCCTCCTTGTCACAATCTAGCAGTGCCTCCTGGATTTCAGGAAACCACTCCAGAGCTGCTAAGGACTGCTCTAAAGACAGGTAAACTAACACAAGGGGATGGGCAGGCAGCTGGAAGGCTTCACAGTGTGAGTTTATGGGACAAGATGGGAACTCCCTCTTGTTTACAGAACTGGTCTCCCTATCTGCTGAGCAGCTTTAGGATTCAAGACTCAGAAAGACAGAGAAAGCAGCAATACACACCAGAGAGCCGAGATTCCAGCCCCTTGAGCAGGGAGGGCAGTCCAACTCTGCCATCCCAGTTAAAGAAAGGGGTGACTCTGGCCCACTAAGGCGGCTAGTTCAAATCTGATGAATTAAGATCCTTGCAGGCAACAGACTACATTTGAAAATAGCTTCTTGTCCTGCCCAATAAGCAAGCCCTGATTTCCAGAGCTGGTTTGTCTGAAAAGATGGAAATTCAGCTATTGTCTCTCAATAACCCCAGGCAGTCCCACTGAATTCAGACCCACACTGGGCTCCCTCCCTCCCACAGAGCAGCCAGCCCAGTTTTGCTTCTCATTGGGGCTCTCCCCTCCCTTTCTTTGCGGGAGGCCTCCAATCTTTTCCAGTTGAGGAGGCAGGCAGGAAGGAGTGAGGAGAGGATCTGAGGAAGGCAGCTGGGGAGAGACCAATGGCAGGACCAAACACACCTAAGCCGCACCTAAATTTCATAGTTCAGACCAGAGAGGTCACATTATAACAAAACCAGGGTAAAACCTAGCATTTGGGCCTTAGCTCCTGATTACCTGGTCATGGAGAAGATGGATAGAACCCAGAAATTTGCTTTAACTCCTGGCTAGGTGATCGTGGATAGCACAGTCTTGGAGAGTTTCCTGTGACCACACTATGCCCAAGTCCTGGTGGCTAGACCAGAGGAACAGGACTTGATTGTTCTGACTTCAGCTAACAAGACAAAGGGTGTTCTTCGGAGTCTTCATTCACTCACCTGACAAATATTTATGGCATACTTGCTGTGTGCCAAGCACAGCCCTTAGCAAAAGAGTGCAGGGCAGTCTTCCTTGCCTGTCACAGGGCTGAACATGACGGAGACCAACATAAGGGAAACACTCACACGGGCACAAATAGACAACATGTAGCCGAGACACATGACCCACGGGTGGGGGGGGGGCTGTATTCCTATGTGCAAGTACAAGGGAAGTTCACCTTGTTGGAGAGATCTCTGTAGTGTCTCCCAGGAAGCCACGTCTGAGCTGAGATCAGGAGGCCAAGGGTTACTCACGTGAAATGGGGAAGGAAGTGGATGTGAAAGGCTCTGAGGGGTGGAGTAGGGGCAGCAAGGTGCCTATCAGAGAATGAGAGACACACCCAGTGCGGTTAGCCTCCGGGGAGAACGAAGGAGCAGGGTGCAGGACGAGCTAGAGTCAGGGAACCAGACTCTAGTGAGCCTTGGGAACTGTATGTCGGGGTAGAAGTGTCATAAATTACTGGAGCAGATGAGGCAGGCAAATGAGATCATTAGACCTTTAAGCGGATGAAAAGATCACCCTCTGCTAACCGGCCCTGATGAACTACTGGTAACTGATGAATTCTGTGACCAGTGTAACAAGTGGGGAGCCCACCAGGCTCCAGGGAGTATCTCCAACCCCCTGGCCACACAGACAGTCCTGGATAAAATCAGTGGGTCACAAGCCAAGTGGTGGTGGTGCGTGCCTTTGATCCCCACACAGAAGGAAGTAGAGGCAGGAAAGATCTATGAGTTCAAGGCCAGCCCTGTCTACAAGAGCGAGTTCCAGGACAGTCGGGACTAGGCAGAGAAACCTTGCTCGAAAAGAACAACACAAAAAGACATGTTTGTGAGAAGGGGTCCTCTGGGGAGGAGGAGAAAGAATGACAGGGTGGGGGAGGGAGATAACAAAGGGTGGGGGCTGGAAGTCAACAGAATGCCCTAAGCACACATCAATGAACAAATTTAGCCAATTAAAATCTGATAAGCCAGCGGTGGTGGCGCACGCCTTTAATCCCAGCACTCAGGAGGCAGAGGCAGGCGGATCTCTGTGAGTTCAAGGCCAACCTGGAGTACAAAGAGTTCCAGGACAGGCTCCAAAGCTACACAAAGAAACCCTGTCTCGAAAAACAAAAAACAAAACAAAACAAAATCTGATAAGCCTAGCTGTGAGTTGGAGAAGGGATCAAAAGGAGCCTAAAACAGCCATCCATAGATCCATGTGGGGGTGTCACATTATTCTAGAGCTGAGTGGCAGCTTTCACAAGGAAAAAGTGGAAGCTGCTGAAGGGCCCTTTGCATTCTGTAATGGAGAGGGTTAGTGGGACCTGGCAAACAAAAGGACCCGTCAAGGTATTTTGCTGGGTACTTAGCTGACTGGGGAAAGCCGCACAAAGTCTTTGGGGAAGAGCCCTGGAGAAGACCAGAACTGTAGTGAGGACAGTGAACTGGACCTATGTGAAAAGGAACCACAGGTGCATAGAGAGATAAGACGTGGGAAGCAATGTGGGCCCACTTGAAAAGGGTGTGTTCAGGGAGGTGACAAATGAAGCCATTAGGACTGATCAGGAGAGAGAGAGTGTGAAGATCCTAGAAATAGAGATTGAGCAAATGTAGTTTATGCTTAGGTGAAGGTTAGCATCTGCTGTTGACTATTTATCACCGTGACTCATCATCAAACACAATGCCTCACTTCTGTCCCCAGACACCAAGCAAAACCTCCCAAGTACCCTAAGAAAGTAAGCAGAGAACATCACCCTGCCCTTTCTCCACCTTGGAGGGACCTTTGTGGAAATACCCTCCCCTTCCATGCTCTAAGTGGATACACGAGACTACTGGTAATCTCCATCCATGCAGTCATCAGTCAATCCATCCCAGGGCTGTTCCTCCTTCAAAATCTTTAACACTAAGATTCATTTCACTGATTGAAATGTCCATTCCTCATTTTCTTTCATCCATACTCTTTCTGAAATCTGCTTGGCATCATTCTCAGAAAGCCAGCCTCCCCTCCCACCGAGTCCTTACCATGGGCTTGCCTGGCTTCATGATGTACTTACCTGCATCTCGGGTTCCACTGACCTGTTGACCCTCGTCTACATCCTCGTTGCCCAAGCCCAACTGTGAGTGTGCTTGGCCGTGGCTTTTTCTCAAGTGTGCTCTCCCCAGACATCTGGACGATACTCAGGAAACTCATATGATGTATGGATTGTCCCCATGGCAGGTAATCAAGGCACAGCATCAGCATTGCTATTGTGGCCTCAGTTAACCGGTCATGTCCTTGGCTCCAGATTTTACCATGAATTATAATCATCCATCTTTTTGGGGCTGGACCCCCAAGGACTCTGAATACACTTGATCATCTGGATCCCACCATGATTCCTTCTCCACAGCAGGCACATGCCCCCCTAGGCCCCTCCAGCTCCCACTGCCAGCCTTCCAGCACAGCTGATTTCTTCCCCGGGATCCCATAGGAAAACAGGTGCGGCTCATCGGCTATGATTCTTTTCGTGTCCCTCCTTCTTCAACATGTGCCCCAGTTCTGTTTCTGTGTCCTCTCCCTTTCTTCTTGCAGTGAACCCCCTTTTGGCACTCTGATCCAGCCTCCAGGGACTCTGGCCAGTTAATATTCCCCTCACCTCCTTTATTTCCTAAACTGGCTCTTATCCCAGGGTCCAAAACAAACCCGAGTTTCTCTTATGATGAAAACATTCTTTCAAAGTTGTTTTACTTCAAATTACCATTTCATCTGGCTGTTCCATTTTTCCCCCTCATTTTTTTTTTGAGGGAGAGATAAACTTTTCTGAATATAAAATCATATTAACTCAAAAAAGCTATAAACATTTAAAGTAAAACATCAAAATCTCATAACCCCTGGCCTCAGAAATAACCAGAATTAGAATAGGACCCCTATAGGATTCTCATTAGTAGATATGTATAAATAGTTTTCCTCCTAAAAAAGTGAGACATTTACTTGATCAAACTGGCTTTGCTCCCTTAGAATCAATTCTGTTCCTTTCTATGCCAATGTATAATTCATCTGTCTAATGACTGTGCAATATTCTCTTGTACAAATGTGCCATATTTAAGCAAGCTCCTTTTAGCAGAAAGTTGGTTATTTCTACTTCTATTCAAACAGAGCCCCAGACCTCCCAGCTCCATTTGGGACATCACCACCGTAAAAAGTCAATAGCAGACCCTTACCAGGCAACCGCAGTGGATGGGTGGGTGGTTTTCTAAGTGCCCACAGTGCCATCCCCCTCCCGCGCCCCTGGTGCTAGGAAGAACAGGAGCTGTTAACAGTTACTACGTGACATCACCTTCTCCCACCCTCTCCACCCCCTCCACCTATGCTGACTGTGGGCTCCTGACCAGCCAGGATAGGAAGGGCACGATTCCAGCCATCTTTCTTGTATCCCAAAGAAGATACATTTGGGCGCAGGTGCCCTGCACGTAGCAACTGGTCTCCGTTTCCACTGCCTTGGCCAGATGCCCTATCCTCTCTACAATAACTCAACTGACCTACAACACTGAAGGCCTCAGCTGGCTCTTTGAACGGAACCTGTGTCGGCTGGGCATGTGAAATGCCCTGTGGGATATAGACCACCCTGCTCCAGCTGCAGGACTTGGCCAGATGTGGGAAGCTGCAAACTGCTGAAG